ATAAAAAATTAACATAACACAAATGAATGGGAAGACTTTTTCTTAAAACGTGTGAAGTTTGGTGTTAACTGAATTCATTTTAAGCCTTCAACGGAGCTTGGGTTTTGCAGTGAATTTTGGACAATTTGCCAGGCGGAAAACCGCACTTAAACCGCGTTTTCAAATTTTCGCAAATTTCTGAAAAATTAACACTCGTCGGAACTTTTAAACTTGATTTTTGAAAACAGTTTACTAAAGGATATCGTTGGGCAAAATATGAGTAATTCACCAAAATGGTCGCTGACGGACGATTCTCGATCCTAACAGGCAGCCATTCTTAAGCAGTCACCCAGTATTAAGCAGGCGTGGTCACCTTTGAGTGAGTCTCAACGGGCTGAGACTCCACCTGTATTGAACGGTCACTTAAAGCAAAACCACTCAAACTAAACTAAGAATTTTGTTCAAGAGAAATTTGTTCATGTTTTTTCTTCCGAAAGCAATGTTTGTAGTACTTTTTAGAGAGTGTTTGTACATCGAGTCAATTATGGCACAAAGTAGCGCTTTTTTAGGTTTTTTTTAATAATACCCCTTTTCTGTAGAACCTGTATTTCAGTAGAGGTTAGCCCGCTCAGTCGTCTAAGGGAACCGCTAAATGCAGGGTTGACGTAGGTCTTTAACGTTAGATGATTGAACAAAATTCACTCCCCTACCACTGATCTGGCCAGACAAACACTTAAAGGGCCACGATCTACCAAGATACATTGCGGGGAAGGTAGTCGGTCGTACGCTCCGAAAATATCCAACTAAATCTCGTATATCTTGACGGAGAACCGGGTTTTTATATCATCAATTAATATTTTGAAGTCTCTGTTGTCGTTTTGCTCCGTTCTTTTGCTGTGTTCACACATTGCTAGTGACAATGAAGCTAACGAAAAAGGTCACCCGGTAAGGAAGGAGAGCCGCCATATCATATCGCGTAATAAATCCACCTTAAAAACGTGGAATGAACGAAAGGAAGTTTTTGGATTTGGAGGGAAGACAAACGGTGAGTTCGTAGCGGTCCTGCCTCAAGGCAGTTCGTTGGATAGGGAAACAGAAAGCCCCACTTGTTCTCAGCACCTGGGCGGAAAGTCTCCATATTACATGGCTGACTAGATCAACTCAAAAGCATGGAATAAACGAAATATAGCTTTAGGATTTGGCAAGAAAACGAGCATAGAGTCTACAGAGGCCCCGCTACACAGCATTTCTGTGGAAAGTCGAATTGAAGTCTCCTCTCTGCCTCTTGGGTGACCGACGGACGGGGGTACGTCTACAATCGATCTCAAGCGCAATCCTATAGATGTAAGGTTTTTGAGTAACCTTTCACTCGCGGTGAGATAAATTCAAATACATTTCTCCTATATTCATCTTGAAATCCCAAATTCTTTATGCCTATTTTGAAGCATCGCGAGATGTAATTCAACGTGGAGCGTGACAAGTTTATCCATAAAAGCCGTTGTGCTTCTCCTTTTACCTTTTACGAATCCTTTCTTTGCGTCTGATGAATGACACGAATAAAAATTCAAGTATTCAGAGATCTTCGTCTCTTTGTATTACGTTTGGACGTAAAGGGTCAATTCCCTGTTAAACCTCTCGCTTTCGTACACTTGTGTGTTTAAGAATATAATTTCTGAGTCTGATATTTTAACCATGAATAGTGATTGTATCGTAGTACATGTATAGACTCAAGATAGTATAATCTCTTGACAGAATGTAGCTGTTTCCCCCTCTTACAAATTCTTCTATTTTGTCTTTGGTTCTGTTGCACAGACAGAAAACGTCGTCAGTATACCTCTTCCAAAGTGGTGGTTTATTTGTGCTCTGGGTGATAATACCCTTTTTCTATTTTTGCCATGAAAATATTAGTGAAAGCCACTGCCGCTGTGGCATTCTTTGCCGTCTCCGTAGGTTTGTGAGAAAAAGTATCAAGTTCCTGGATTTTTCTTCTATTTTGTCTTTGGTTCTGTTCCACAGACAGAAGACGTCTTCAGTATATTCCTCCACCAAAGCCATTTAGTTTTCTCTGAATGATATTACGCTATTTATACTTTTTTACAATGGAAATATTGGCAAAAGCTACTGCCATTGTGGTATTCTTTGCAGTTTCCGTTCAGAGTGGGAGGAAAAGTATCGAGTTCTCGGATAATAAAAATAACAATGGCGCGCAGAGCACACTGGTTGAGCGTGGCCCCTTAACAGAGACAAGGTCGACATTACCATTTATCCCAAATTTTTATTTATTTTTTGCTTTTAGAAACACGACTAAGGCTGCAAAAGCCTCTGAAGGGCTTTTGAAGCACAATCTTATTCACGATAATGTATGCAAGCCTTTAGAAATCTAACGGTAAATTTTTTATTTTCGTGAATCTTGTTCAAGACGGTTTCATCCTTAGTTGTTAACACTATCTAAAACTGATTAGTACCTGAAATTTGTCTTTCTTACAAAGTCACTGGAAATCCATGGGTTCTTCGCGTACAAGTAAATATTTAGAAGGCTTGCTGCCTTGTAAACTTTCAGGAAACAACGAATTTAAGAGCATGGGTTATCAACACCCAGAAATTGCCATGTATGAAAAACGAAACGTAATTACTTATTGACATAACATGAAGAAAATTTTCTCACCGAACAGTAAATCTGCAATCTTTTTTTGACCAATGTTTTCAAAGGCGTCTAAAAGGCATCCAACAGTTGCGTCATTCCCATTCTTATCCCTCCATGATTGAAGTACGGCATGTCCTCTCTCACCAGCGCGGGAATAATCTGGTCCTATATTAAGAAGTTCGCCTTCTGGTATCAGAAGTTCTGTCCCAAGTTTGAGCCAACAGGTTCCCGCGTCTTCCATTATTGACACGGATCGTTTTAAGGTAAAAACTTTGTCTCTCAGTTTTTTCTTTACAGCTACCGAAAAAGAGTAAACGATTATTTTGCGCCGGGCATTTAACAATATTTATAATGTTTTCATCGTTTTACAACAAGTACAATACAATTGTTAACAAACATGTCCCCATGAAAAAAATATCAATCTGCAAAGCAAAGCAATTATCCAAGCCCTGGATAACTAGTGAAATTAAGGCGGCGATTAAGGTTAAAAATAAATTTTTTCATCTGGAGACAATGTTAGGTACCATCACTATAGAAACAAAATTTCTGCACTGATACGCTTGAGTTAAAGGAGATATTACGGTACGTTCTTTGAGAATAATATGGACAACATGAAAAAAACCTGGCAAGGAATCGATGAACTCTTACATCGTCGGAAGGAAAACTCAAACCCCATACCTGCACTAAAGGACTTCAATAATCGCAACAAAATTGTTAAGGAAGGTTCGCGGATACCTAACATTATTAATGAGCACTTTGCAACAGTAGGAAACAGACTTTCTAACAATCTTCCCATTCCCCCCAAAAAAATCACCTAAACTACCTCGACAAGTGCAATTCCCCAACTTCATCCTTCTTTTTTCAACCTGTTTTACCTGGAGAATTAAGGTCAGAGATATTACTTGTGCCGAATGACAAATCTTATGGTTTATACTCCTCACCAAACAAACTTCTCAAATGTTCGAATTTAAGTGCCGTCATTAGTCCTTTTCTTTCAGAGATACTTAATACATCTATCAAATTAGGGACTTATCCATCATCACTAACATACTGTATGTGGATAAAAATCTGAAAGATCTTGAGAAAATAGTCAACATTAAGCTACAAAACCTTTATAACTGGTTGACAGCTAACTAACTAACTCTTAACATCAAGAAATCCAACTTTGTAGTTTTTAATGCCTATCAAAAGCGACTTGCTTACCAACCAAAACTTTACATGTTTGATAATGATAAGAATAAATATACTTGTCTCGAGTCTGAAGTCTACATAAAATATCTGGGTGTACTTATTGATCAGAATCTTTCATGGAAATATCACATTGATTCCATTGTAACAAAAAATTAGTAAGACTATGGGGTTACTTGCAAAGTTACGCCATTTTGTACCCCGACTTGTGCTACTGAACATCTATAAGTCATTAATTCATCCTTATTTAACTTATGGTCTTGCTGGCTGGGGTTAGGCATGCAAGACTTATCTTAACAAAATACTAATTTTTCAGAAAAGAGTGCTTCGTTTATTATACTTTGCCGAAGGGCATGACCATGCAATTCCTCTCTTTTTCCAAGCTAACGCGCTTCCAATAACTTCTCTTTACTATGAGTCCGTATCAACCTTAATGCAGGATATCAATAATGGTAAAGCCCCAACAAACATGTTAAATTTAATTCAGAAAGTTTCTAATATCTACTCATACAATACACGATCTTCTACGTCTGGCAAGTTTTATGTTAAATATTCTAGACTTGAAATACAAAACAATTCTTTTTCTCGGCTCGGAGTTAAAATGTGGAATGGGATACCAAGCTACATAACCAATCTCCAAAAGAAAGCTTTCAAAAAACATCTCCGCAAATTGTTACTTGATATATTAGTAAGACCTATGAGACGGTAAACACATCCAGCCATTTTCGAAATTCTAAAAGTAGAAGCTCATTTTTTAATCGACGTCTTCCATGGCGTTGCCGTCCTAGTTGCTTAAAGTCCCTATTATTTGTGAACAAGCGCTCCGGGAGCTCTAATTTGTAATGCAGCCATTTGACCCGTTCATTGCAAACTCTTGTAGAGTTCTTTTAGTCTTTTTTGTTCTTCAAACCGGTGGGGCATACAAAACTGCGTCATAGTGGCTAAAAAAAATACCAACCCCTAACAATGAACTGCTTGAAAGAATTAATTGCGAAAAAATAAGTGGTGATAGAAATCAATTGGAAGTAGTGGTGTTGAGTTCCAAATGTAAATTAAAGTAATTTGCCGCCGCGGTTTCGCTTCGCAGACGACGCAAATTTTGGTGATTTCACGTTCTCGTTTTGCAAAGGAAGGCTAAGAAATGTACAAATTTTAAATTCGCACGTGCTTGGCTATTGTTCTTCCAATTAGATCTATTGTTTTTCCACGTTCTTGTTGCCGTAGCCGTCGTGGTTTGCTTAAAGTCCTTACTGCCTTAAGGGAGGGCGCTTATTAGAAACTGAGCTTATAAAGGAAATTGTGCTTATTTTCAGTTTGGATAATCAGCAGAATGTGCTTTGACGTTTATTTGAAACGAACAATAACAGAAACTCTACCAGTAACAACTGCACAGCAAATATTCGCATGATAATCAGGGCAGAGAGAGGTTGAGCGATGAAACGAGCGGTCCGCTCTTCGTGCAATGTGTTATGCGGAGTGGAACTGGCACGAGAGGGCTTATTTTCAGTTTGGAGAATCAGCAGAATGCGCTTTGATGTTTATTTGAAAAGGAACAATAACAGAAAATGTAAAAGGAAAAACTTTACAGCGAACATACGTATAACAATCAGGGTGGAGAGAGGTTGGGTGATGAAGCGAGCGGTCCGCTCTTCCTGCAATATGTGATGCGAAATAGGCGCTTCCGGTGCGTTATCAAGTCAACAAAATTTTCTTCTCGACAAACCGGGAATCTCCTCTTCTTTCCAGAAAGATTTTCCAATAATGAGCCATGGCTAAGGAAGTTTCTGACAGGCTTATCACGCTGCTCAATGATTTCATGTCTACATTGATATTTATCAATATTTCCTAGCGCAAGTACGGCTAAAATATTACTTTAGTTTGAAGTTGTGAAATGTTTGCTTTCCCCTCGAATCATAATGTTGTTGTCGTTTATCAGAAATAGCGATTGTTCCCAATTCTTCCAAACCCCAAATTTTACATATGTTAAAAAGCGGTAACTTTTCTATCATATATGAAAAATTTAGCTGGAGATATCTGGAGATAACAGAGTTGTATTTCTTCAAACTTCGTAACTTTTGTTGAAACGCACCCGTAAATCATCTCGCCATTACATGTAAACAAGTTCTTTTGAGGTCTCACAGGCAAAATATCTTTAGTTACTAAAGGTGAATCGAAGCTGAAGCATAAACGTACCAACCTTTGGATGGGAGTCATTTGAAAGACAGTGGATGGTAAAACTATCTTCTTAAGATACGTGACCATTGGCAAGTTTGTTAACTGTGACTTCAGCATATTTAGTATATTTAGTAATTACACGAGCAGCACAATCTCTAAAATGCAATGAAGATCAACACTTGTGGTTCGGTCCGCTCAATATTCCTGAACAGTTTTAGTTGCTACTTCCAAAGATATTAGTTCTTACAGCATTCATGTCGAGGGAGATGGAGGTAACAAATTATCAAAGGGACGAAAGAATCGGGGAAACCATTTAAAAGCGGTGCTTGTCTACTCTGAGACAACACGTGGGGAGAAACGAAAAAAGAGCAGGAAATAGTTAAATCGTGTTTGATTGGTTTGTGCCCCCCAAACACCTCCCTTTCCTTTTCAGAAGTACATGAGTAGATTTTTCGCCTTGACGAAGTTAGCTTTAACGTATGGATATAATTTAGAGAACGATATCTGTTACGAATAAATAACGCTCTCTACTGCAAGGATCGTGCATCATACGGATATCTGTTATCTCTAAAAATGAACTTAAGCTCACCTAAATCAACTTCAGGTTTCCTCGGCGGGGTTGAAGATTCGCAATCTTGAAATTGATCCTGTAAAGGAGAGAAAGAAGTCCTCAGGAAAGGAACTACTGAGTACCATCTCAAAAACCACTGTCAGCAAAAGTCGAGCAAAATTTCTGCTTGTACACATGATTTAGTGTTCCTGGTCGGAAACGTACTGACGCGGTTAAGTTTTTAAATGACGTTATTTCGATTCACCGAAGTCAAAGATATCTACTTTCCTGAGGAAATTTTTTAGGGATTCACTTATCGCCGACTGGAAGCACGTTCTGTCCATGGGGCATTATTAAATGTACCTTAAATATTAGTCCCTTTTATTTCCGAACCATTACACAACTTTTCATGTCACGTCAGAAGCATAGCTTCCAAAAAGACGCGAGAAGAGATTTACAAAGCGAAAGATGGTAACAATAATTATGGTCCATTTATTTGGTTGGTTTCTTTCGTTACTGGCAGAAATTAAACCCGAATCCCGAGAGTGAAAGAACTTTGTCTTCCTTCCTCAAAGGAACCGTCTATTAGTTTTCTGGAAATAAGTATTTGGTAATTGAGCTTTAGATTCGATCTGTCAAATGTAGAAGTCAAATGCAAAGAAAAAAGAACGTGATATAATGATATGATACATCAGCTACCAACCTTAAGTACTTGCGTTTGAATAAGTGACAAAGTACTCAGACTTTCCTTTTCTCCTGGGGCATTTTTCAGTTTGTAAAACATTACATCTGGTGTCACTTCTGTCATTTGACAATATACGAGAATCTCTATTTGAAAATTTTCCTCACCAAGAAACCTACAAGGAGACAAAATAACCCAACTTACGCAACAATCTCGTCTTAAAAAGTATAGTTTGGTTTTGAACACCTCTCGAGAATTTTTGTCGTATACACAAGACCGATAAAGCAGACATTTCCTGAAAATTCTGTGTAATTTGCCATCAACTTGTCGCCGATTAATGAAGTCAGATGAAAACGATCAAGGTGCCAAGGGAATTTCTCAATATGATCAAAATCAAGGGCAAATATTGTCTCTTGCATCTCACCAGGAAAACGTGTGACTTCAAAATAAATCTTTGCAAAGCACCCCTTGAAAGACAGTTCAGGACGTTGTCTGTAGGAAAATCACCTGGCTTTCATTTCTTACCTTTCAGTATTATGGAAAGTGGAAAAATAACACCTTCCTCTTAAAATTAGTGCCCAAAGTTCATAATTCACTTCATTCCCTTGACGATAACATTCGAATTTTTGCCATTTTGCTTTGGTTAGAGACAGTTACTCTTCTTTTTCGACTGGCCATGGCCGTTTGGCAAAGTGTCAGTCAAGTCAGGAGCAAACCGAAAAATTGTCACTCATACTCGGAAAAAAGAGACCCAAGAAAAAAATTTTTCCGTTTGAAAATCCATGAATGGTGATGAGCGAAGTACCGCCGTGTACATCCACATCGAGTCAATGACGCTTTTCTATAGAAAGCTGAGCTATCTTTTAATTGTAGCGTTTAATGGTTTGTCCCCTTCAATTTGAATAGTTTATAAGAACCATCAGCCACGATGGTATGATTTTAATTATGATGTAAATAAAACATTTTATACATTTTCAATAGCAACTTACCGAAGAGGAGTATTATCAGGATCTTGATCTGTATCAACTGGAGTAAGGCCATCTGAAACAGAAAAGTAAACTAGATCCCCAGCAGAGAGCGGTTTGCACGAGTTGCCTTCACCCTGCCGGAAAACTTCATACTTCGAGGATATATCTCTTTTGAGTTCACTTTTCATATGAAGCGGGAAACAGCACAGAATTAGCTTTTTTATTTCCAGATGTCGTTGATTACACAAGAAAGCCAGAAACCCTACTTCTCGAGGCCTGAAGGAATCATCGACGAAACGTTCTTTACCACTCACACGTTCCTCAGAAAAATTAACCTTTGCCCAATATCTACCAAAGAATAAAGAAAAGAGGGTGAGACTGGACATAGTTACTACTGTCTTATACATATATTTAAAAGTGTTCCTTCTGTTCATATGCATGGGTTTATGCGGAAACCACTCGAATAAGGATTTTTTACTTGAATACATCTGTTCCGTGACAGTTCCCCGCAATCGAAATCATGGAACTCATGGGTGAGCAGGCTCCCCATATTCAACTTGAATACAAGTGCACGATATTAACATAAGGTTGATGTTTTAAATAAAATGTTCCTCCTGACTTTAATATTTTGAAATTGACACAATAATTTGGCGATAGAATCATGCGTATCAGTTCATAGTTAATCGTACTCATAATTCTATATCGACAGAGCATTACTCACTCGATTTCTTCCTGAATTAAAAATTAACCCCAGACCATAACTAGTGACTGGTTTTGGCTTAGCCCGCGAACTTTTCAATTTTCGCTATTACTTTGTACTTCCGTAAGATTTGCTGCTTGGATTAAACAAGTGATTATCCAGAAATATTTAACTGATCTTACAGATTAATCGACACGTGTTATGAAAAAGTAATTTGGCATCAATACTTACTGTATGTTCTGATTGATTTGAGATTTCTTGATTCCATTCAGTCGAAAGTTCACAATTCCATTGTTTAATCTTGGTGGCTCGTACAATTCGTTCAGGATATTCATCCACTCCCATAACTTGTCTTCTCCACCTCGCGAAAATACTCTTACACGACCAGTTGGCATTTTTTCGTAGTCAATCAGCTTTTGTTGTGAGGCAAGGGGTATGCTTATAGAGACACGTCCTTTGACTTCGTCTGACGAATTACATAACAGATGTAGGATTGGACCAACAAGGACGCCACTTCCTTCGAAATTACCGATTGAAACTTCTTCCACCTGAGACGAAATTCCAAATAACACATTAGGGCCATTTATATGATTAAAACCTGTCGCAACTTACGTATGTTGAAGTCTTGAATGTTATAACTGTCCTAAATGTAATAAAGTCCTAAATATTATAAAGTTTGGCCCTTAATGTAATAACATTTGGTCCTAAATGTAATGAGCTTCCTATACAATAGTTTAACTACAATAGCACATTGTTGTTATGGCGGATATCCATATCAAGATGTTACGGAGACAGCTGTTGCACCAAAGAATCCTCTGACCAATATTCAAAGCATATTGCGGGCTCGCTGATATTAATATGCGTCTTTTTATTTCCTCAAGACATGGGTCGAGAAGCATTTGCTACAAACCCTTATACTGATGTGCACTTGGCATTAAATTGACAGACGTCAAAACAAAGAGAACGCTGACTAATACCTCTCTTTATATCATTGGCTCAGACTCTTTATTGCACAAGATTTGACGAAATACTTGCGTGATCACTACTGAAGTTAACGCTTCATGAACCAAATTACACTGAAAATGAAGTCCACTGACCAACAGAAAAATTTCGGGTTCGGAAGTAGATCTTTTGCACTGACTTCCCTTGCCAGATTTGTGTGGGTCTACATGAATTTATTTGTATGCGCTACTGACCAAGCGTGAGGTCAGGATGGCTGGATATTGGCCGAGTTCAATTTTGGCAAATATAAATATAGAGGCAAGACCGATACAACGTAGATAAGTTTTAAAACGGAGCACTATATTTCGGATGGCCAAACCAGCCTTCTTCAGGTGCGGTGGGAATTGACATAGAATTAAGGTGGTACTTAGATAGCTGTATGATGTAATAGCGGAAATACGTAAAACTAATTTGATTGACAAGGAGATAAATTAACGCTCGCGAAGATATGTATTAGTGTTAGTCCTTCTACTATTCTTACCTCTAGTTTATTTCATTTATTCAATTTACCCCACTTTACTTCTATTTTTATTCAATTTATCCCACTTTACTTCTATTTTTAATTATTATCTCATTGTCAATGAAATTAGTTTTACGTATTTCCGCTATTACACCATACAGCTATCTAAGTACCACCTTAATTCTATGTCAATTCCCACTGCACCTGAAGAAGGCTGGATTGGCCTGCCGAAATATAGTGCTCCGTCTTAAAACTTATCTACGTTGTATCGGTCTTGCCTCTATATTTATATTCGCTATTTTGGGCCGATTAGATCACTGCTGATTCAACGTACAAGAGTAGGATTATCGTCCACGGTTGCTTGCTGAACATTTCACGTCTATTATGGCGTTTTTATATTGATCGAGACGAAATCAAACTCGATAAAATCGCAGAAAAGAACAAGGCTAATTTCCGGCCATCTTGTCAGAACAAGCTTGGTCAAGAGAATTTATAGCCTCTTGACTTGTTCAATAAAGGATTTATAATAAAGCAAGAAGATGTTGGCTTGCTTTCGAAGTCATCATGGCGGTCAGACACGTCCGTATGGGCGGCACACTATTGTGTCTTTTATTCCTTGTCGCACTTCTACGAGAAGTTCATGAGTCATCAAACTGCAGTTTTATGCATCCCGAACGCTGTACGCGACCGGTTATTCTACTCCACTTAACAACGTCAAGTGCTTACTACAAACCACCTTTTAAGCTCGCATCGAGGCGTTTTAATGGAGGAATATTATACACTGCTACTGGTGTAGGTACATTTCAAGCGCAAAGATTGTTGATTTCTGGAGATGTTTCACCTAACCCTGGTCCGATAAGGAAGCCTACGAAGTATCCTTGTGGTGAATGTTCTAAATCCGTAAGAGGCAATCAAGACGCCATTTTATCTTCTGAGTGCAACACCTTGTCACATGCAAGATGTCTGAATATGTCGAACTGGACCTTTCAGTACTATCTTAATAATCCATCTGTTGACTGGATATGCTCCTTCTGTGCCTTGCCGAAGTTTAGCAATTCATTCTTTTCCACCTTGAATATTTCCACGCATGAAAGTGCGAGTGACACTGAGCTGGACCTTAGTTCACAACCTTCGGACATGAAGTTATTCAGAAACGAAAATCGCAAGGAATGCATTATAGCAAACCTAAATGTAAACAGTCTACCTAGAAAATTTGAGGAGATGAAGGAGTGGCTAATGAACAGAGCCTTCGACATTCTATCCATACAGGAAACTAAGGTCGATCGATCCTTTCCTAACTCTCAATTTCATGTTAACGGGTACAAGTTATTTTGCCGTGACAGGACGAAAGGTGGTGGCGGTCTTGCCGTCTTTATTCGCGATAACATATCGCCGCAACATGTAGGAAAAGCATTACAACATTAGTGGAATCACTCTTATTCGACCTACACATCAGACAAAGACGCTTCGCTTTAGTCAGTGCCTACAAGCCTCCTTCTGTTAACAATGCTACCTTCAGAACTGAATTGACTACAGTCCTGGATCAAGCGATATCTCTCTGCGTAAACGTGATTTGTCTTGGCGATCTAAATTGTGACATAATTCATCCGCTTATCAATAATAACCAGGGCAAATGCCTTTTGGATATATGCGATATCTATGACCTCGATGCATTAATTAAAGAACCGACAATAATTTCAACAGCTAGAGCTTCTTGCCTGGAAGTCATTCTTTCAAATGTGCCCATGTTTATGAAATCGTTTGGCGCTATCGAAACAGGAATCAGTGATCATCTGCTAGTCTACACGGTTTTCAAAACTATGCTACATGCTAACGCCGAAGTCGTCAAGAAACGGATATTCAAGACCTTTAACCGCGATGATTTTCAGAAAGATCTCAGTCAAGTTCCTTTTCATGCTGCATACGTTTTTGATGATAAAGACGATGTTTACTGGTGGTGGGAGACGTTATACAACCAGGTGTTAGATGACAACGCACCAATGCGATCTTTTAAACGACGATCTTCAGCAGAATCGAAATTCATCACTCCTGAAATTCGGAGAGTAATGGTGGAACATAAACGGCTTAAGAAAATACTTAATAGATCACGTAATCAGTGTGATTGGGAGAGCTACCGTCTAGTGCGCAACAAAGTAGTTAGCATGAGAAGAAAATCTATACGCAGACATTTTGAGAAGCTGTGTTCGGAAAAATATGAAGTTTTGGGGTGCCATCAAGCCTTATGTTAATTCCCGAAAGAATGTAGACAATAGCGGAATAACATCAAAGGAGGGCGACAAAATCATCATGAATCCTCAAGAGGTGACCGAGACATTAAATAATTTCTTCACAAGCTGTATTCAAAGTACAAAAGAACAAAATCAAAACGGCTATCCAGTAGATTTATCGCACCTATCAAATAACTTAATAAGCAGGCCGAATGTGTCGCTAAGCAACACTAATCCAACAGAAGTTTACGAAGTAATGAGGAAACTTGCTCCAAACAAGGCTTCTGGATGTGATGGGATCCCTCCACTAGCAGTTAAAGAATCGATGGATGTCTTATGCTTCCCTCTTAGTATATTGATTAATCATGTTCTAACTTCAACTAAGATACCACAACAGTGGAAACTTGGCGAGGTCACTCCAATTCTCAAAAAAGACTGCAGCCCATTAAAAACTAATTATCGGCCGATAACGATTCTGCCAGCTTTATCGAGCGTTTTCGAATAAATTGTTCATTGCCGAATAAGCCCGTATTTTGAAGAAATTTACAACAAATATGTGTTTGCTTATAGGAAATATCACGGCTGCGACTCAGCACTTCTTAGTCTAACCAAACAATGGAAAAAAGAAATTGATGACAATAAATTGATCGGTCTGGTCTCTATGGACTTGTCCAAGGCCTTTGACACCTTACCTCATGAATTGATTGTTTTGAAATCAAAAGAATATGGAGCAGATGAAGCAACAACCACCCTGATAAAAGATTATTTATCAAATCGATTCCAAAGAGTGAGACAAGGGGATACGCTTTCCAATTGGCAACCTATATGCATTGGTGTACCACTGGGATCCATCCTCGGTCCTTTACTATTCAACATCTTCATGAACGACCTTTCATATGTCCAATCGAGAAGTGCACTCTGTCCACTTACGCTGATGACACTCAAATCTTTTACGCCGACAATCAACTCTCCAAAAATGAAGAAACAGTCAACAATGTTCTTATTAGTGCTGATATATGGTTCGCGTGTAATGGTATGAAGAGGAACAGTTCAAAATACCAGGCAATGGTGTTGGGAAAATACAAAGGAACTGATGAACCAGTGTTTAAGTGTGAGGAGTCACAACTTCCCATATCCAAGACAACAGAACTTCTTGGCGTGACAATCGATGATAAATTAAATTTTGAAAAGCACATTGCTAAAATATGTAGAAAAGTCAGTCAACAGGTGGCTGTGTTAAAAAGGATGCAGAAAATGTTGTCTTTTGAGACTAGAAGGGATCTTTACAAAGCCTTCATTTTACCACACTTTAATTACTGCTCCGAAACGTGGCACTTCCGTGATAAGAAGTCAGCTGACAAGTTAGAGTTGGTGTGAAAAAATGTGCGCTCCGTTTTGTTTTTAGATAAAAGTCCCAGCCTTATGAAGAACTTTGTAAGCGTATCGGTCTTTCAAGTCTTCGTGAACAGCGATTAGCGAAAATATTGTCCACTGTCTTTAAGATATTAACCAGTGATGCAGGAGCAAAAAGCTTACGTGATCTTATAACAGTTAGATGCTCCATTTATAACCTTAGGGGTACCACAATGCTGGACCCCCCAAAAGTAAAATCAACAGCTTTCGGGTTAAGATCATAGAGATATGCTGCATCGAAACTATGGAACGCTTTACCGGACGAGTGTCGAAAGATACAAACATTTACTACTTTTAAAAATTACTTAAAAACATTAGATCTCACGGGACTCTAGCGCGGTGAGGATCTATCCTTAATTATATTTCCTGTTTTTAACGATTAAATTTTATATATTCAACTCGGTGACTACATTGTTAAATTCTTATATTTTAATATTAGCTAGTT